TTGAAAATATCCAACAATGATATAAAACATTTAAAGAATAAGCTAAAGAATAAAAATAAATAAAAGGTCTAATATGTCCTCGCACATTTTGATAAATCATCTAGAGTACTATGAGGGGAATATGCACTTCATATGGACACTGCTGATATAAGGGAGAGAAACTATAGTTTTCCTGTTGGAACTGACTCTAACTCACGGTGATCCCATGTGTGTCAGAGTAGAACTGTGCTCCATAGTGTTTTCAATAGTTGTTTTTTTTTTTGGAAGTAGATTGCCAAGCCTTTCTTCAGAGGTGCTTTTGGACAACCTTTCAGTTAACAAGTAAGTTTGTGAACTGTTAACATCACCCAGGGACTCCTTATATTCATTTAGATGAAATAATCTGCCTTTGTAACGCTTTAGAAATGTGGTTATTCCTAGACACTTTCAACAATTTATTGTTCTGAGTCTCTTCAGATTTTTATATTGCTTTATTTTAAACTAAAACAATTTTCAAAACCATAAAAATAATTTGCATCTAGAGATTCAACCACCCTGGGATATTTTTTTTCCACGGAAAACCACAAAAACAATGGACTGTGAGGGCTATTCTAAAATTAATATAACTCGCCAATACCTCAACACTAAATTAAAATCAATTTACACTGTAATATAGAAAATGGGTTTTCTAAAAATGTTGCTATAGAAATGAGAATGGAGATCCTGATCAATCCTAGGCTGTATCATCATTAGATTTTTCGCTATGGTTTGGCAGAAGCCCCTGATCTTTTTCTGTCAAGCAATTTGGTCCTATCAGGAATCTATGATTTCCAGATTATTTTTTTAATTTAGTCTTTTGGTAAAAATATACACAACAGAACATACACTCCACTCAACAATTTTTACATGCATGATGCATTGACAATGGTTCCGTTCTGTCACCATTGAGAATTGTATCACCATTTTCACTACAGCTACCCCTATTATTTCACCACAGTTACCTCATACTCTCTACCCCTTAAAATTCTCATCCGTCCTTTTGAGTTACTGTTTTCATTTCAGTCTCATATAGATAATTCTTTAGAAGGGTGCAGTATTCAAGGTAGACATTTATTGAGCTAAATTGTTGTTTAGTTTAAAGATGACTTCATGAGATAATTTTGGTTCAAGGTTCAAAAACTGTTTTGAGGCAATAGGTTTGGGGGTCTGTGGTGAAATGAATTCCTTTAGGTGGCCTTTTGTCTTGGTTCTTTGGAAAAACAGCTTGAGAGAGTCTTCCCCTAAGACCAGAGGAGTTACCTTTGCCCTAGTTTTCTACCCCAGAGGGTTTGTTACATTTCCTGGGTAAGCTGTAAACAACTTGGTTTGATACTTTTTGTCTGGTCCTGCCATGCAGCCTGCCCTGTGATTGGCATGCATCTTTCAGGGATTGGTCAATATACTATGCAAATGAAATGACTATAGGCTATGCAAATGAAGTGACTATAGCCTACTGTACACTAGCGACAGGCCTGGAAGGGGCTCTGCAGCAGAGTTGGTGGTGACAGATGACAGGGCCAAGAAGAGCTTGTCCTAAGGGAGCTGAGAGGAGCCTGTCTTGAGAGGGCTGAGAGGAACCTGTCCTCAGGGGCCTGATAGGAGGCCTACATGGCCAAGAGCGGAAGTGCAAGACAGAGAGAAGGGCCTGCTTGCTTGCATGGCCAAGAAGAGCTGAGACCGCTGTCTTACACTGAAGAAGGAATACTTTGCCTGCATGATTCCTGATCCTGATCCCAAGTTGTACTCTGTTACTTCCTAATAAACCACTTAACTGTAAGTATGGTCTGTGAATTCTTTATGGCCATTGCAATGGATTATTGAACCCAGCAGAGAAGTAGAAAGTGCCATGGGAAAGATGGCTGGTGTCAGAATTGGTAGAAAGTTTGGAGGGTGGACGTACGTCTGAACTTCACCTCATGGAAATCGACTTTGGGCTGATCCTGGTCATTATCCTCCATGAAGTTAGACAGATTCTGATGCTACTACTACTACTATTTTACAAGGTCCCTTCAGTCTCAAAGTGTCCAGTAAGTCTGGTTTCCAATAAGAATGTGGACTTCTGTTCTTCAATTTTACTTCTTTTGATCAAGATCTATCTATTGGATCCTTGATCAAAATATCCAATAATGGTAGTCAGATACCAGTCATTTTTTCTGGTCTCATGGCAAAGGAGGTAGTAGTTCATAGAGTCAATTAGACCTGAATAAAACCATTTCCATCTCCAATTCTTGGATCTCCTTCTTCCTCTGTTCCTCCAGGTAATTAGAGATGAATTGTTGTATCTTAGATGACTGCTGGCAAGTTCTTAAGACTCCAGGAGTCTTGAACTAGGAGGAAGAAAAAGAAACTCTTAAAATAATATAAGGCCAATTGACTGGACAGGCTCACGAGACCAACACTCCAAATCCTGAACCAAAAAGACTAACCGCTATATCACAAAAACCAAACCTGTTGCCACTGAGTCGATTCTGACTCATAGTGACCCTACAGGACACAGTAGAACTGCCCCATAGTGTTTCCAGGGCTGTAAATCTTTATGGGAGCAAACTGCCATGTCTTTCTCCTGCGGAGCAGCTGGTGGGTTTGAATCACCAATCTTTCAATTAGCAGCAGAGGGCTTTTCCACTGCATTATCAGGGCTCCTTAAAACTAATCCCATGAGGTGTTTATTTGTAGCTATTATCAATGACTGCATTCTTTTTTTTGGCTGCTATTTTTGTTGTAAAATTAAGTGTACTATTTTATATGTCATTTCACTCCCCTTTTTTACATTTTTCTAGTGTACAATTTAGTGATATCAGCTGCAATAGTCAAGTAGTGTAACTATTACACTCAGTTCATGCCAATTTTCCCATCACCATAGACATACATTTAGTACTTCTGGTAGAATGATTACCCTCCCCCTTTCCCTTCCCATCCCTGGTAACCATTGGTTTTTATATAGTTAGCTATTCTTTTTTTTTATTGTTGTAATTAAATGACGTTTACATTTCAAGTTAGTCTCCCATACAAAGTTTTTATGCATACATTGTTATGAGACCCTAATTGCTCACCCCATTCTGCGGCAGCACACTCCTCCCCTCCGCCCCTGATTCCCCATGAACATTCAACCAGCTCCTAACTCTCTCTGCCTTTGCCTCTCACCTTGGACAGAACCCCCACTTTGGTCTCTTATATCTACTTTTCTAAGAGGCACACTCTTCACGAGTATCACTTTATGTCCCACAGTCCAGTCCAATCCCTGTTTGAAGAGTTGGCCTCGGAAATTGTTTTAGTTCTAGGTGATGGAGAGACCAGGGGCCATGCTTTCTGTGGTGCCTCCAGTCTTAGTGAGACCGTTAAGTCTGGTCTTCTTACTAGAATTTGAGTTCTGCATCCCATCGTTCTAGTACTCCATCAGGGACCCTCTGTTGTGTTCCCTGTTAGGACATTCATTGGTGGTAGCCGGGCACCATCTAGTTCTTCTGTTCTCAGGCTGATGAAGTCTCTGGTTTATTTGGCCCATTCTGTCTCTTGAGCCAATACTTTCCTTGTGTCTTTGGTGTTCTTCGTTCTCCTTTTCTCCAAGTGGTTGGGACCAATTGATGCATCTTAGATGGCCGCTTGCAAGCTTTCAAGACCCCAGATGCCACTCACCAAAGTAGGATGCAGAGCATTTTCTTAATAAGCTTTATTATGCCAATTGACCTAGATGTGCCCTGAAAGCATGGTCCCCAGACCCTCACCCCTGCTACCCTGTCTCTCAAAGTATTTGATTGTATTAAGGAAACTTCTTAGCTTTGGTTTAGTCCAGTTGTGCTGACTTCCCCTGTAGTGTGTGCTGTCCTTCCCTTCACCTAAGATAATTCTTATCTACCATCTAGTTAGTGAATAACCCTCACCCTCCCTCCCCACCCCCATAACCATCAAAGAATGTTTTCTTCTGTGTTTAAACCTTTTCTTGAGTTCTTATAATAGTGGTCTTATAAAATATTTGTCCTTCTGTGACTGACTAAATTCACTCAGCATAATAAGTTCCAGCTTCCACCATGTTATACGATGTTTCACATCTTCATCGTTGTTCTTTACCATTGCATAATATTCCATTGTGTGCATATACCATAATTTGTTTATCCATTCATCTGCTGATGGGCACCAAGTTTGTTTCCATCTTTTTGCTATTGTGAACAGTGCTGCAATGAACATGGATGTGCATGCATCTATTCTTGTGACAGCTCTTGTTTCTCTAGGATATATTCCAAGGAGTGAGATAGCTGGAATGTATGGTACTTCTATTTCTAGCTTCTTAAGGAAGTGCCAGATCGATTTCCAAAGTGGTAGGACCGTTTTACATTCCCACCAACAGTGTATAAGTGTTCCAGTCTCTCCGCAACCTGTCCAGCATTCATTATTTTGTGATTTTTGGATTAATGCTAGCCTTGTTGGGGTGAGATGGTATCTCATTTAGTTTTGATCTGCATTTCTCTAATGGCTAATGATCGTGAGCATTTCTTCATGTGTCTGTTAGCCATCTGAATATCTACTTTGGCAAAGTGCCTGTTCATATCCTTTGCCCATTTTTTAATTGGGTTATTTGTCTTTTTGTTGTTGAGGTTTTGCAGTATCTTGTAGATGTTAGAGATTAGACGCTGATTGGATTTGTCGTAGCCAAAAATTTTTTCCCAGTCTGTAGGTTGTCTTTTCACTCTTTTGGTGAAGTCTTTTGATGAGCATAAGTGTTTGATTTTTAGGAGATGCCATTTATCTGGTCTCTCTTCTGGTGCTTGTGCATTGTTACTCATGGTTCGTATTGTGTTTATGCCATGTATTAGGGCTCCTAGTGTTGTCCCTATTTTTTCTTCCATGATCTTTATTGTTTTTGATTTTATATTTAAGTCTCTGTCCAGAAAAATTTAACAGGTTTATTTATAATAGTTATAAAGTTGAACTGCTGAAACTTGTTCACTGAAATATTTTGACTTGCATTAATGCTTTGTGTCCCCATATTTATATTAAAAATTCACACACAAATGAAAATGGGAAAACTGCCAATACCTGATTTCTGTCCCCTATTTTTCCATGCGTAATCATATACTTAGGTACATTTTGACCCCATGTAAAAAAAAAAAATCTAACATTCAGAACTACCAATAAGAGGAAGAAGAGAATTTTTCTTTTTTTTTAAAGAATGAAATGTTTCCCATCATAGCGGATTCTTAAGCACATTCTCCACGTATGTGGCGTGCTAGCTGGATGTCTTTTGGCATAATTGTTACACGTTTGGCATGGATAGCACACAGGTTGGTGTCTTCAAAAAGGGCAGCCAGATAGGCCTCACTTGCCTCCTGCAAAGCACCGATAGCTGCACTCTGGAAACGCACATCTGTTTTGAAGTCCTGAGCAATTTCTTGCACCAGACGTTGAAAGGGAAGTTTGCGAATCAGAAGTTCAGTGGACTTCTGGTAACGTCTGATTTCCCGGAGTGCCACAGTACCAGGCGTGTAACGATGAGGTTTTTTCACCCCTCCGGTAGAGGGTGCACTCTTGCGAGCAGCTTTTGTAGCCAGTTGCTTCCTGGGTGCTTTACCAACAGTTGATTTGCAGGCTGTCTGCTTCGTACGAGCCATGGTATAGACACCTCCTCACTTACCCCGCTTCTGCTTCAGCTGGAGATCAGCGAGCTAGAGGCAGCACTGCCGTTAGAGAGCTACAGCTGGGTGGCAGCGACTGCGAACACAGCTGTAGTTAGCTATTCTTGTCATTTCATGTAAGTGAGATCATACAATATTTGTCTTTTTGTGATTGATTCATTTCAGTCAGCATAATGTCTTCAAGGTTAGTCCATGTTGTTTCGTGTGTCAGGACTTCATTTTTCTTTAAGGTTGACTAATATTCCACAGTATGTATGTACCATATTTTGTTTATCCACTAATTAGCTGAGGGGCACTTGGGTTGTTTCCCTCTTTTTGCTATTGTGAATAGTGCTGCAGTGAGCATCATGGTATATAGGTCTGTTTGTGTCCCCACTTTTAAGTCTCTATGGTATATACCGAGGAGTGGGATTGCTGGATCCTATGATAGCTCTGTATCTAATTTTTGAGGTATTGCCATACGGTTTCCCACAACAGCTGCACCATTTTACATTTCCACCAACAATGGATAAGGGTTCCTATCTCCCCACTTCCTCGCCAATATTTGTGGTTTTCTGTTTTTCTGTCATTGCCATTCTAGTAGGGATGAGGTAGTATCTCATTACAGTTGGAATTGACTTGACAACAATGAGTTTGATTTTTGGGGGGCGGAGGGGAGTAATGGCTAATGATGACGAGCATCTTTTCAAGCATTTCTTGGCAACTTGAATATCCTCTTTGAGAAAGTGTCTGTTCAAGTCCATTTTTTGATTGGATTATTTGCTTTTTTGTTGTTAAATTGTAGAAATTTTATATATATTGTGGGTATTAGACCTTTATCAGTTACATAGCTCGCAATGATATTTTCTCAGTTTATAGGTTGTCTTTTTTCTCTTTTGAAAAAATCTTTTGATGAACAGAAGTATGTAGTTTGTATAAGATCCCAGGTGTCTTTTTTGTCTTCTGTTGCTCTTGTATTTGTTGTATTTAACAGTCTATCCTTAAAGAAAATTAGGTCCGATAGCTTCTCTCTTATGTTTTTTTTCCAAGAACTTTATAGTTTTAGTTCTACCATTCAGGTCCTTGATCATTTTGAGTTAGTTTTTGTGTATGGTGTGAGGTATGGGTTTTGCTTCATTTTTCTGCATGTGGAAATCCAATTTTGCTATCACCACTTGTTGAAAATACTGTTCCTTCTCCACTGAATGGACTTAGGGCCCTTGTCAAAGATCAGTTGTCCATAGATGCATGGATTTATTTCTGGGCTTTCAATTCTATTCCATTGGTCTATGTGTTTATCATTAAACCAGTACCAGGCAGTTTTGGTTACTGCAGCTGTATAGCAAGTTTTGAAATTGGGAAGTATGAGGCCTCCTACTTTGTTCTTCTTCAAAATTGCTTTGGCTATTTGGGTCCTCTTTCCTTTTCATTTAAGTTAAGGATTAGCTTTTCCATTTCTGTAAAAAAATGCTGCTGTGATTTGATCAGGATTGTGTTGAATCTATAGATCACTTTGGGTAGTATTGATATTTTCTCAATGCTAAGTCTTCCAATCCATGAGCGTGGAATGTCTTTACATTTATGTCTATTTTCGCCTCTCGCAGCAGTGTTTTATAGTTTTCATTGTATAAGTCCTTTACATCTCCAGTGTGATGATTAAGATTGTGTGTCAACTTGGTTGGGCCACAATTCTTGGTTGGGCCGTGATTCTCAGTGTTTTGGCAGTCATACAGTGTTGTGATCACTTCCCTGTTGAGATCTGATATGTGATCACCCCATGATGAGATTTGCTGTAAGTAGCTGATCAGTTGAAAGGGAGTTTCCCTGGGCATGTGGCCTGCATCTGAATATAAGTGGATGTTCTAGCAAGGCTCGGGCTTTTTCTCCTTCTGGATCCTGCAGCTGGCTCCGGTTCATCTGACCTCCAGTTCTTGGGACTTGAGCTAGCAGCTTACCTGTGGTCTTTCTTGCCAGTTTTGGGATTTGTCAACCTTCACAGCCTGTGAGCAAGAGCCCTGCTATTTTACCTGCTGATCTTCGGTTCACCAGCCCCTGTGGCTATGTGAATCTGGAGAAGCCTCTATCCTGATCCACGGATTTTGGACATTCTAGCCTCTACAACAGCGTGAGCCATTTCCTTGATATAAATCTCTCTCCATGTATGTATTTATACGCTTTACTGGTTTTGCTTCTCTAGAGAACCCAGACTAAGACAATCATCTTAGATCTCTTGGTTTACAGTTTTCAACAAATTTAGAAAAGAAAATTAGCTATTATTTCTTCAAATATTTACCACCTGCCTGAAACTCAGGGACTTTAATTATTTTCGGTCATTTAAAGTGGTCCCACAGTTCACTGATGTCCTGCTCTGTTTTTCCTCAGCCTTTTTTCTCTCTGTGTTTTATTTTGTATAGTTTCTATTCCTATGTGTTCAAGTTCATTAATCTTTCCTCCTGAAATGTCTTTATCCTTTATCTCTCTCTTTAATACCAGTCAGTGTATTTTTCATCTTAGACATTGAAGTTTTTGGACATAATGAATGCATATAAAATATAATTTTTTAATATTGCTTGGTAATTATATATCCATGTCTGTTCTGGATTGCTTTAAATTGACTAATTTTTTTTTTCTCTTCATTTTGGGCTGTACGTTTTTTGCTTCTTAGTATTCCTTGTACTTTTTTATTGGATTTCAGACTTTGTGAATTTTAACTTTGTTAATGCTGGGTATTCCTATAAATATTCTCTAGCTTGGTTCTAGGAGTCCCTGGGTAGAGCACAAGGTTAATTTCTCAACTACTAGCTGAAAGGTTGGCATTTGGAACCCACCCAGAGATGCCTCAAAAGACAGGCCTGGTAATCTGCTTTCTTGAAAACTCTATGGAGCAGTCCTCCCGTACACATGAGGTCGCCATGAGTCGGAATCTCCTAGACGGCCACTAACAACAACAAGCTTTGTTCTGGGTCGCAGTTAAGTTACTTGAAAACAGTTTAACCTTTCAGGACTTGCTTTTGAAATTTGTTAGGCAAGATGATCAGTGTTTAATCTAATGATAATTATTCCCCATTACTTAGGCAGGATCCTTCTGAATGCTGTACCCAATACCCCATGAATTATAAAGTTTTCCATTCTGGCTGGCAGGAACAGGCACTATTCACAACTCTGTATGAGCCCTGGATACTGTTCCCTCTAATACACTGGTGTAGTTCTTTTCTTGGGTTTGGTTAGTTTTCTTACACATATGTGCTGATCAGAATGCCGAGGAATACCCAAGGGGGATCTTTTGAAGGTCTTTGAAATTTTCTGTGTGTGTGGTTCTCTCCTCTCTGAAACTATTTTATTGGCCCCTCTAGGACTCTCTTAGCTCCAACTTAAAGTCAGAGAGCCCACCCAGCTCTGCTTGATTTCTGCATCTTGACAGTGTAGACTGGAATCCCTATCAATGCAGTAAACTCTGCTATTATAGGACTCCTCTCATTTGTTTCCCTTTTCTCAGTGATCACTGTCTTTCATTTCCTGAAGTCTATTTGCGATGAGTCAGAACAGACTCGACAGCAATGGGTTGTTTCGGTTGTTGTTGTTTAGTGTCTTTAAAATTGTTATTTCATAGATTTTGCCTAGTTTTCTGATTGTTTTAGGTACGATAGTAAATCTGATCATTCCATCTTGGCCAAGGGTAGAATTATCTCCTGTTATCTTTTTTGTTATTTTGATTTCTAGCTTATTTATACCCCTGAGATCAGTAAACATACTGCGAAGGATGTAGTCCCTTTGTCACTTTGTTTACACCACCATATGATAAATTTAAGGAGGTCTGACGGCACAATGGTTAAGTGTTCAGCTGCTAACCGAAAGGTCAGTGGTTCGAACCCACTAGCCACTCCACAGGAGAAAAGACCTAGTAATCTGATCCAGTAAAGATGACAGCCTAGGAAACCCTATGGGGCATTTCTACTCTGTCCTACAGGGTCGCTAGGAGTTGAAATGGACTCAACGACACATAACAACAACAACATTGTAAATTTTGCTAAGTGTTCTGAGTACACTTGAAAATGTATTCAGTCACAACTGGGGTATATAGACATTTCGGTACTACTTGGTTCAAGTTTATTAGACTTCTTTTTTGTAGATCTGCTATATCCACTAGTTTTTGTTGTTTGTTCTGTCAACTATTAAGGGATCATGTTAAATTGTCTCACCATAACTATCAATTTCTCTATTTCACCTTTAGTTCCTTCATTTTTAAGTATCTTTTAGGCTATGGCACTAATACATATTTAGGATTTGAAATTTTGTTATCTTTCTGGTGGGATAATCCCTTAGCTTTATGAAATATACATTTTATCTCTAGTAATTGCTTATTGCCGCTATGTCTATTTTTTCTGATGTTACTATTAGAAAGTCCCATCAGCTTTCTTTTGGTTAATATTGGTGTGGATATTGGTTTTCATCCTGAGTACGAGCGGAGTACAGGGGCATGTCTGCCTGACACAAGATTCCTATAATAAACAATCTTCGGTTTGGGACTTCCTGGTAACCCAGCCAAGATGTTTTCACAGCTAGACTACAGTTTGGGGCTTTTCCTGCTCAATTAACCTTCCTTCCCTCTCTCATTTCACGGGTGACAGAACTGCCTTACCTACAGCTATCCTAGTCCTGCTTCCCTTAACATTAACAAACAATAATTCTTCTACATTTCTAATGCTATCTTGGCATCTAATTTCCAGAAGAATCAAACAGATGCAGTTGGTTATGTAAAACTTAAAATTCTTCCTTAATTGAAGTGATTCTGATTCCTCTAATATTATAAACGGTTCTTGTATCAATTAGTAGCAAGTAATATGAGTTGGAATTTGACTCAAAGGCAGTGAGTTTGGTTTATGCGTTATATAATAAAGTGAATTTGGTGAATTCATTGTTGCTTATAAATAACTGACAATTAAATCTGATAAAAATATTTTTATTGTGGTAAAACATGTAACAAAACATCTGTCAGTTCA